CTATGAGCAATATTTGGAGTTGAGCTCTCTTACCTTTGCAACAACAACAAAAGAAAAAAATCTGCACTGGGGGACGCTTTTAACACTATATATACTATATTTTCTCTTACAGTTTTGCCTTTTTCGCTTACACAGAAAGATGCATGCTGAACGCTGGGAACGCGTTCCCCACTTGGACACACATACACACACACACACACACACACACACACACACACACACACATTCCTCTTCACCTTTCCATTGCTACTCTTCGGGTCTCTTTCTACAAAACTTCACACACAATCACACATAATATTCATTATTTGAAAAATTTTCTTCATTCATATTCATTGGTTTGTAACGCGCAACAATTACCTATCGTCTATGTATACCTTTGTTTTTTTTAATACACACATTGTATATGTATTGTTTTTAGTTGTTTCTTTGTAATTATTTACGCGGACTCACTTACCGAGTCCGCCATTTTTGTTGTGGGATACCAGGAAACACGTGTTCCTCAACTCAAACGTCAACGTACATACCACCCACTACAAATGTACTGACAAGCTATATTCCTCAATTTCAGTAGTAGCGAGAGGCATGTGATATTTCAGCTGTAAATGGGGTAAAAATCATCCATAATTTCACTCAAACTTGAACTTCATGAAAACTAGAGAATGAAGACTTGTAGAACAGAGCCTAGTAAAAGGAATTTGTTTACTGGGTTTCATCAGCATGGCTGATGATAACCCCCATGAGAGCAACTCTTTGCGTCGTCTTGTTCTCACGTTTTCCACTGAGATGACGTGGAGTAATTATATTAAATCAATTGCTAGGACTACAGCTAGGAAAGTTGGTTGTCTGTATTGGACCAGGCAATTGTTCTCGTCAAAATTATAAATCGTTTAATTTGCAGTGTAACACGCACGCTCAGTTTGCATTAAGAATTTAGAGAATACTTTCATTTATGTGTAATTGTATATGCTCCATTCGAATCTGGCTTGATAAATTTGACAAAATCTACAGTTTTGGAGTTATCAAGTTCGGATTCATTCGCGTCGCGGGCAGCCATTACTGGCGTTATTTGCATACATTCGCTGCAGAATAGATATCAGTGTAGGTATCATTGCGCAAACTGAGCGTGTCTACGTAAATAGTTCTTGTGCACTCTAGTTGAGACAAATTTAGAGAAGAATTAGTTCCGCACTTAGCTTTCTGTAGTCTTCTGCATTTAGATTTCCGCAGCGAAAGTATACAAACAATGTCAGTAATGGTTGCCGCCAATGACGCAAATGAATGCGAAATTTCACTGTCAATAATACCAAAACTATAGATTTTATCATATTTCTCAAACCAGTTTCGGATGGAGCCTGTAAGTTACACATAAATGTAAGCATTCTGGAAATTTCTAATTTTTTGAGCTCGGGTGTTACACTGCAAATAAACCTATAAATCTACTATTCTTCCGTGTTGTGACTATTGTAGATATTTTGTGCACTTAACGAAACTCAGTTGAAAAGAGATAATGGAATTCAACTGTAATCTTGTGACGAAATAATCTTTTATGTTATTTCGTCTTCACAGAAAATTTATTGAAATGAGTTCCAGTCGACCCCATTTGATTTGAGGGGGTGTCAAATTTCCATATGTATTCGAAGATAGAGGAAATGCAAAAAAAAAAACGTTAGCTAAAGGCAGATTTTTTTTCTTCCTTCGTTACGACGGTGCTCTCTCTTTCGAAGCTGACTGGACACGTTGCCGAAACTGTTAACAAAACTCCTAACTTTATTTTCTATCATTACTTCGACAAGGATAATTACTTATAGACAACATATAGTATTTATTGCTGCAATTTTGACATAAACGTTTGCCACCGTGGGATTGTCAATAACAAGTAAGAATTCATTATCATTTCTTTCTCCGCCAAATTTCGCATTAAATGCTAATAGTTGCCATTATAGTTTTTCTAAATTCCTTTCCCCCAATCAGTCGGGCTTAAAATCCCGAAACCATTACTATATATTAGGTCTGGTGCTCCTATTATAATTAAAATTCTTGAAAAATTTCAAAGGGTCTGTAATGCAATAGATTTTGACCTATCTCGAATTATGCTAATTTTCCAACACATACTCTCTTTTTCTATACATATTTTCATGGTAATTGATTTGATAAACTTTTCACATTTGTCCATCAACTGCATGAAGTTAAACGTATTATTACGAGATAAGCAAATATGTCTAAGCGGTTTACAGCTGTACTCGGTAGATAACAACCGTATATTCTATTCTCAAAGTTTCTTCCGCACACTATTTACATTATTCGGACTGTTGTCCGCATCTTTGTCGCCATATTTATTACAACGTTTCGGCCGTTGTACTTTCCGACCTTCTTCAGGTGGTTGGAATGCCGAACTGAACCCTTTATTTCGCTCACTGGGGTAGACTGTTCTCCTGTTAATTCCTCTCTCCAAGTTTTCCACCACCTTAACCAGGTATTGAACTCACACTCTTTGGGTCCTGTCACTGGATTTAACTAATGTCTTTATCCACTCTGCCATGTGTCCTTAAATATAGACAGATAGTTTCTTCCGGTTTCTTGGTTCCCTTCAGCCTACAATCTTCAAAAATTTAAATACAACGTCAATTGTTATCTTGTCTTTCTGAATTATCCTTCTTTTTCTCCACTAAATTATTCAACTTCCAGTAACTTTTTGCGTGTTAGTGGCATTATCACCTTGCTTTGGGTGAAATGATTAAATAATAATCTGATTTTAACAGCATTCTTTAATTCCACTCCGTAAATCCAACTAGCATACCATATCCAAGGGATTCCATGGAACGAACCAAAAAATATCGTAGACTTTGAAATATGTTATTTTTAAGACCCCGTCTATATCTTTACGAGGGAAAGATTTTTTACAAATATTGCGTACGTAACATTCGATGCAAATTCATAAATGCATCGAAAGAGTAAAGCAGCCACCCACCCACTTCGTGTGCACAAGTCAAAGTAAAATGATCAAAAGTAGCTAATACCAGATACCACATCGGGAGAATGATGTGCAATACACAGGCTGGAGGTAGATCCAGTTAACTCTTTCACGCTGGCTCACTTTTGGGAATAGGAATTTGACATTTAGTGGAAGTATATGACGAAGACACAGTGGGTTATTTAGTGGAGCCTTGAATGACAACCAGTCTAGAAGAAGGAATGCAAACATTATACAGCCCAGACGAAGGATATACTATGAAACTAAGGAAAGGATCGTTCGGACTAACTCGATAATCCCGATTACAGTCGACTCCTTTTTGAAAAAGCATGCCTACACAAAAATCATCATGTTGATCGTCTTCATCATGTTGATCGTCTTCCTCTTCTCGTCTTCTTACTCTTCGATACTCTTCTCGCTCTTACTCTTTCGCTCCTCTTCTCGCTCTTACTCCTCGACTCTTCTCGCTCTTACTCTTCTCGCTCTTACTCTTCTCGCTCTTACTCTTCTCGCTCTTACTCTTCTCGCTCTTACTCTTCTCGCTCTTACTCTTCTCGCTCTTACTCTTCTCGCTCTTACTCTTCTCAAACTCTTCTCGCTCTTACTCTTCTCGCTCTTGCCTCTTCTCGCTCCTCTTCTCGCTCTTACTCTTCTCGCTCTTACTCTTCTCGCTCTTAAAAGCTCTTACTCTTCTCGCTCATCATGTTGACTCTTCTCGCTCTTACTCTTCTCGCTCTTACTCTTCGCTCTTACTCTTAGTCTTCTCGCTCATCATGTTTATCTTCTCGCTCTTACTCTTCTCGCCTCTTACTCTTCTCGCTCTTACTCTTCTCTTCTCTCGCTCTTACTCTTAAGCTCTTCTCGCTCTTCTCGCACTTCTCGCTCTCTTCTCGCTCTTACTCTTCTCGCCCTTACACTTCTCGCCCTTACTCTTCTCGCCCTTACTCTTCTCGCTCTTACACTTCTCTCTTCTCGCTCTTACTCTTCTCGCTCGCTCTTACTCTTCTCGCTCGCTCTTACTCTTCTCTTACTCTTCTCGCTCTTACTCTTCTCGCTCTTTGATGAAGGAACTCTTACTCTTCTCGCTCTTACTCTTCTCGCTCTTTCTTATAAAAACTTATACTTATGACAAATTGAAAATTTCGTTACTTCTCCCCTGGAGCAGGTAAGACCGCAAACGACAAGGGTTTCTTTTAAAGAAAAACGCAACAGCAAGGACACTTGTACTCAGAATAAGGAAATACCTGCTGAAATACCTAAAAATAAGGAAGGAGAGCTTGGAAAATTTACCCCACACGGAGTATATTGAAGGCAAGATAAATAGAAGGCATCAAACAACTTTCCTGATGTGTGAAGAGATAGCGCGGCGAGGGTCCCTAGCAAAAGGAGAAAAACGGTCAAGAGCCGATTCCACAATCTAGCACATGTGACCTTCAGAAAGCCTCAAATTCCTCCTCAATCTTGTCGATTACATGGATCTTGGTATTATAGTGAGTTGGTGTCTCTCAACGCGCCCCATACATAATACTCTATGGGCTTACAATCAGGGGAGTTAGGGTGCCCAGACGTAGGGACTGGTGAAGTCATAAAAAAAATTATGAAAATGACTTATAACTCTTCCTGGATTTGTAGAAGAGCTGAATTATGCTGCCACGAACGTGATCTTCAATCTGACACCTTCACTAAACAAGGCTTGATCTGTGTCCAACTACTCGACGTAGCTGTCCTGGTTGAACCTGAGAACCTGTTCAATGATGTATGTAGTATGATCTCACCCTCACTAGAGACACACCCAAAGAACCATCAGTCTGGGGAAAGTTCATGACACGCGGATCATCATATGGATTTTAAGCAGATCATTTGTTGTTTTGGGTGTCGTGCATCTAGTCTTGACAAAAATTGATTTAATCGGAGAAGAACCAGATTGTCCCTGGTTCAACAGGACGTTTCACTTTGTTCAGGAGGTCCTTTGCCTTTGTCAGACATTTTTCTCGAGCCTGTTCTGTAAAGTGAAGCTTTTATATTTTGTATGACTGGCAGCAGTTGTCCTTATTCAAGCACAGTTTCATGTGGTGAAATTGCAGCAGCCATTTTCTGCACCAAAACCCGCATTGCGTTATTTAGCTCTTCCATCATTTTCTCCTGCAGTTGTTGGATGAAATCTTGGGTACGGAGGCAATCAGAACATCTGCTGTGTTCTTTCGTACAAGACACTGCCTGTCCGTTGCAGCTTTCTGATTTACGTATAATTGTTTTCACACTATTCAAAGAATATTGAGCTGCTGTCATTATTGCGGCATTTTGATGCTCGTTACGAATCGTAATGATGAAGGTTACGCTTTTCAGGTGGCTTCTATTCGTCCAGTTAATTTTGATTCTTCTGAAACTGTAGTGACGAGGAATCACCATGTCGTCATCGGTTTAAAAATATTTCAAACCTATCTCAAAAGAAACGCAACAGACTCTGTCAAAATTAGCCTGAACAATTTCTTTTTTTTCTATTTGTATCTCTGTTTCTGTCTCTCATTCTCTCGTTCTGTTTGTGTCTCCCCGTCCGTCCGTGTTTCTCTCTCCGTGTCTCTCTCTCTCTCCCCGTCCGTCCGTGTTTCTCTCTCCGTGTCTCTCTCTCTCTCTCCCCGTCCGTCCGTGTTTCTCTCTTCGTGTCTCTCTCTCTCTCTCTCTCCCCTGTCCGTCCGTGTTTCTCTCTCCGTGTCTCTCTCTCTCTCCCCGTCCGTCCGTGTTTCTCTCTCCGTGTCTCTCTCTCTCTCCCCGTCCGTCCGTGTCTCTCTCTCTCTCCCCGTCCGTCCGTGTCTCTCTCTCTCTCCCCGTCCGTCCGTGTCTCTCTCTCTCCCCGTCCGTCCGTGTCTCTCTCTCTCTCCCCGTCCGTCCGTGTTTCTCTCTCTCTCCCCGTCCGTCCGTGTTTTCTCTCTCTCCCCGTCCGTCGTGTTTCTCTCTCTCCCCGTCAAATCCGTGTTCTCTCTCCGTGTCTCTCTCTCTCTCTCCCCGTCCGTCCGTGTTTCTCTCTCCGTCTCTCTCTCTCTCTCTCTCCCCCCCGTCCGTTTTCTCTCTTCGTGTCTCTCTCTTCGTGTCTCTCTCTCTCTCTCCCCGTCCGTCCGTGTTTCTCTCTCTCCGTCCGTCTCTCTCTCTCTCTCCCCGTCCGTCCGTGTCTCTCTCTCTCTCCCCGTCCGTCCGTGTTTCTCTCTCCGTGTCTCTCTCTCTCTCCCCGTCCGTCCGTGTTTCTCTCTCCGTGTCTCTCTCTCTCTCCCCGTCCGTCCGTGTTTCTCTCTCGTGTCTCTCTCTCTCTCCCGTCCGTCCGTGTTTCTCTCTTCGTGTCTCTCTCTCTCTCCCGTCCGTCCGTGTCTCTCTCTCTCCCCGTCCGTCCGTCTCTTTCTCTCTCCCCGTCCGTCCGTCTCTCTCTCTCTCTCCCGTCCGTCCGTGTCTCTCTCTCTCTCTCCCGTCCGTCCGTGTCTCTCTCTCTCTCTCCCCCGTCCGTCCGTGTCTCTCTCTCTCTCCCGTCGTCCGTGTCTCTCTCTCTCTCTCCCCGTCCGTGTCTCTCTCTCTCCCTCTCTTTCTCTCTCCCCGTCCGTCCGTCCGTCTCTTTCTCTCTCCCCGTCCGTCCGTCCGTCCGTCTCTTTCTCTCTCCCCGTCCGTCCGTCCGTCTCTTTCTCTCTCCCAAATCCGTCCGTGTCTCTCTCTCTCGTCCGTCCGTCCGTGTCTCTCTCTCTCTCTCCCCGTCCGTCCGTGTCTCTCTCTCTCTCTCCCCGTCCGTCCGTGTTTCTCTCTCCGTGTCTCTCTCTCTCTCTCCCCGTCCGTCCGTGATTCTCTCTCCGTGTCTCTCTCTCTCTCCCTCCCGTCCGTCCGTGTTTCTCTCTCCGTGTCTCTCTCTCTCTCTCTCCTCCCCGTCCGTCCGTGTTTCTCTCTTCGTGTCTCTCTCTCTCTCTCCAAATCCGTCCGTGTTTCTCTCTTCGTGTCTCTCTCTCTCTCCCGTCCGTCCGTGTTCTCTCTCCGTGTCTCTCTCTCTCTCCCCGTCCGTCCGTGTCTCTCTCTCTCTCTCTCCCCGTCCGTCCGTGTCTCTCTCTCTCCCCGTCCGTCCATGTTTCTCTCTCTCTCTCTCTCTCCGTGAGTCCCTCTCTCTCTCTCTCTGTCCGTCCGTGTTTCTCTCTCCGTCTCTCTCTCTCTCCGTGAGTCCGTGTTTGTGTGTCTCTCTCTCTCTCTTTGTTTGTCTCTCTCCGTGTCTTTTTCTCTCTCTCTCTCTCTCTCTGTGTGCGTGCGTGTGTCTCTCTCTCTTTCTCTCATATTCAGGCTGGTTGATGAAAATGAATACTATTTAATAACGGAGCGTTTATTCGAAAACTAGTATCCAATCGACAATAACATTTAGGTAAACCAAATCTGTCGGATTAATAAATGAAATCCATTTTTTAGATTACATTATGATACGAAATGTGTTTTTCAAGGATCAGAAAAACCTATTTGTATTATCTACTCCGGAGGAGATACATCACGAAGCTTTTTATGATGATGATGATAATAATGAGTGTGTATCTGGGAGAGAGAGAGAGGTAAATGTTGTTTTTGTGCATGCCTGTATTTGAGTAGTTGATATTTTTAATCTAAAACTATATTTATTTCGTCTACCGACCTACACATTGAAGAAAATTTATATGGCAACTTTTCCCTATACATAGATGAAACGTTTTGAACTAAAAATTTCCAGGAGAAACCATTGTCTGATTCGGTGCCTTAGTGGCTTTATTGCCTTACTTGATGTGAAATGATTTCAAAAAACAAACAAATAACAGAAAAATTATATTGTCCCTACAAAATTAACCTTTTACCCATAGAACCTGTTGATTTTTCTTAATGTTGTCCGTCCAGAACGTGATAGAAATTCCTATTCTGCGAAATAGGCAAATTAAATTATGCCGACGCTAACCGGGTAAAGTCATTTCTTCAATGGGTGGATACGTCACTACCTACTTTAACCCGAATCTATAAGTAGCCGTCTCTTAATCTGAGAGATAAAGTTTTTTTTTGTTTTTTTTTTTTCTAAGATATAAAGGAAGAATGCAAAGATTTACTTGGAAGTAATGCTCAAAGTATTATTTGAATTAAACGCCATAACGTTTCACAAAGACTGCAAATGAACGTGAGCGGAATTTATTATTAGCTTGGATTACTTCCGATATTGTCTAAGACCGAACATCAACCATGATAATTTTATGCCATTACGAAGTCTATACGTTAAATATTCGTAGCTAGCGGTTATCTGCGCAGTCACTAGTGTAATCGAGCAAGAGTTCGTATTCTTGACTACTCTGCGAAGTTCATTTTCGCGCAAATGCCTCTGTGGAAATATATATATCCGTTCAGCTATTGACTATAGAGCAAAATAGATTGGGGTTTATACAGTTGGTAAGCCCCGAATTGGATACGATGGAGAATGTAAGGGAATAACACTTCACTATCTTTTCCAAGAAGGCAAGTCGCTTAAAGCTATTTAAGGTCGGGATATTGTCTACGTCTTGATGGGAAATTACTAATTTCTTTCCAATAAAATAAACCGATATACAGTCTAACATCTCTAATCCGGCATCCTTCAGATCAGGACAACATAAAAAGCCAGAAAGCAGAAATTCTTGCCAGCTCATTCCATATATATATATATATATATATATATATATATATATATATATATAACTGCGTTATTAAAAGTAGAAAAAACTCTTAACAGGATTATTTCCTGTTAAGCGTTTTCTAGTTTTAATAACGCACTGTTATAAATCTTCCAAACAAGTTTTTTTGGCGTTTCGTACAATAAATGGCTAAAAGAAAGCCTACCCTCCCCAACCTATATATATATATATATATATATATATATATTATATACAATATAACACCCTTCATAATCCATAGCCCAAATAAATAGTTTAAATACCCTAAAAAAGATAACCCTTTATGAAGTCGTCAAAAAACAAACGTTACGACAGTTTTTTTATATGCACGAATCCCTTTCATAAAAAATAAATCTCCATAGACATGCAAACTAGACGAGGGTTAATACATCTTCTGTTTCAAATTTAGACACCCCCACCTTTCCCTGACTTGACATCTACGAAAGTAACTCTATACTGATACTTATTATTAACAACCAACACCCGCCTACCCAACTTAAACAATTCGCCCTAGCTGTTACCATGGAAATTTTGATTTCAATTTTTAAAACACGTAAATTTCAGAAACACGTTATTCTAAAAAAAATTTCGCTTGAAGATGGAACAGAGCTTATTTTAACTCAATTTAATTTAAATAATTATATTGAAGTTTTCGGCTCTTGTTTTGAAACATGGGACTTATGTCGCGATTTGTAATCATATTTTTAAATAAATAATATATATATATATATATATATATATATATATATATATAAACACACACACTGTAGTAAACTGATTACTTAAAAGAATTTACTATTTCTTTAGCAGTTTCCTCTTAAAGGTTAAGAGTTAGAAAATATATATTTGAGTTAGAAAAAAAGCTTAAAACAGGAAATAACACAATTATAAATCTTCCAAATAATAAATGGCTAAAAGATATCCTCCCCAACCAATATATATATATATATTTATATATATATACACAAACACTGTAGTAAACTGATGGCTTAAAAGTATCCACTATTTCTTTATCAGTTTCCTCTTAAATGTTAGAATTTATGGTTTTTATCAGGTTACCCACATCGCAATGTGTTGATATGATAAAAAAGAAACACTATATAAGACTGACTCTATCTATAAAACAGCATGGCAGAATTCTATATGACAAAGTTTAGTTGATGAATGTGTCAAATTATTAAAATATTGGCCAGAAACCGGGTCCAAGTGAAAAGTGAAGAATTAATACAATCATAGAGAGTTGTTGGGTGGTCGGTCTGAAGGGATGTCATTTCATATTCGAAATAGTGAAGGATTTGTAGGAATTATTCCAGGTAAGAGAAGCCACACGGAATATTAACAAGGTATAGTAAATCTTTCGTAGGAACGTAATGTAATAAATTCGCAATCATGCTATATGGCACTGATGGAGAGATTTGACGTAACGGCATTGTTTGCCTACAGAGAATAGAACGAACGGATCATGTGAGCAAGGAGATAGTTTTGATGAAAGTGCCAATATAAAGATTGTTTATAATCGGAAACAAACTATTCGAAAATAAAATGAGGAAAGTAGGTTTGGAGAATTTGACACACACAAGATATACTGAAAAGAAAAATGACAAAGGGACACAGCTTAACAAGATTCACAAAGCTGGAAGTGGGAAATGCAGCAAAACTGCAAATATTCATAAACGCTATAAAAGATAGGAAGTTGTGAAGAGCCATGATCACTAATGCCCCACAATGTAGCAGTAACTAAAATGGAGAAAAATACATGGGGATTTTTTTTTTTTTTTTTTTTTGCAGATGATTGAAAGTTTGGCACCAAAATCTGGACGTGCACAGGAATAGAAAAAGGTGAAGCGAATTACTAAGGAACAGGAAAATTTCGTTTGTAGCAAAGAAGATTGCTGGATTGTTATTCAATACCAGTCCTACTGTATGGTAGTGAACGCTGGAAATTTTCCTCACGTTTGAAGAGAAGCGTGGAGGCAACAAAAAATGCGATTCTTCAGAAGGATGCTAAAAATACCTTCACGGTGCGTGTAAATAAGCAGGACGTATTAAGGAAAATGGAAATAAAAAAGGACACTCGCACAGAAAGAGACTGCTTAAATCGCTTGGAAATTTGTTTGGACACATAATGGCGAGAAATTGAAGAATATGACTCTAGCAGAGCACATCAAATACAATGGAGAAGATGAAGGAAGCGGGAAACTTAAGTTTGTGTGAATGAATACCGGAATGATGTGAGAGATGGCAAAATCCAACAGTTACCAAAAGGTTCAGAGATAACCATAATCGCCTACGTGGAGAAGGGACACAGTACACAGAAGCAACTCTTGCTTGTTTTATCTGAGGTTGCCAAAAGATTTTTTGCATAATTATTTTTGGGAGATTGTCTTCTCTGTTATTCAGCTCCGGATTATTTTACGGCATATCACCCTCAATGGGTTATTGAATGCCGACAAGATTTTTAAGATAGGTTCGTATGAATAGAATGTATTCGTTGTAAGAAATCGGTTTGTAGATCAGGTTTCATTGGAGTATTTTTATGAAGAGGTTTTTACCAAGTCAAATGTATTGCTGGTAACTTTTCAAAAATGTATTCCTGATAATTTTTTTTTTCACAAATGTATTGCTCGTAATATATTTTTTTTCAAAAAAGTTATTACTGGTATTTTTAATTTAAAATATATATTTTTATGATTTAATAGGCTCAAAACTGGTCAAAACACTATTTGCCTATAGTTTGGACCCAAACAGGTGCAACCACTCCGGATCGAGGGTGAGGGCTGAAAACAACAAGAATTATGAGGTGGTTCTATACTCCTGAAAATCTCCTGGGTGTAGTTTAGTCATATCCAGAACGCTCTTATTCATGATAAATAAATTAGATGCTGAAAAGACATGGAGCAAATAATTAATCCGCAGAAAACGTGACCCAAAACATCTATTTAAAAGCTGGAAATTCTTAGAGATTTCCTTGAAACTTTTCTACATTTGTATTTTCCCGATTTCCCCACTGAGAAGCGATGTGATATAAGGTCGGGTTTAATATAGGTAACCCGAGCGCGTACACTTGGGCCAGGGACAAATTGTTGCATCGTTATGACAAATGACACCCCACCACAACCACCATATCTAGTGCAACAAGTTGGGTACAGCTGCAGACAGCTGTTCACCGGCACCGGGTACCTCACAGTATTTTTTTTCTCAAGCGGCTTTTCTGCCTGAAGACGGGTGCAACTGAGATGATTACAATACCCATTATGTGCGCGATAACTATAGGTATTTACCCAAGTCCCCAAAGACGGGGTGCAACAGATGGTCAGTTGTTTAATGTGGGGTACCTGAGCACATACAGTCGGGTCATTAGTCAAAATATTGGTCAATTTTTACCCAGCCAACGCTTGCACAGGATCGGGCACAAACTAGTGTTAGTTTTTCATTTCCCCTGTCGATGCGAGGCAAAAAAAAAGTGGGGGGGCATAAATATAACAGCGTTATTATATGTAGAATAGGTAGATAGGGATGTATTAGACAAACGTGCTTCAAATAATTTTACTAAAGATGCTACAATTTGATCCAAGAGATCGTGTTTACGGAT